CCCAGTTCATCACTTTTTCTGGTCTCAGTATAAATTTAGCAAAAAACACAATATATCACATGAATGTCTTTACTTTAAGAAATCTGATAAAGCAGGGTGGTAGTGAAAATTGCCTTTTAAGGGCCTGATTGCTGAAGATTAGTGACTTTGGATGTTTCATGGCATAACAATGTCACATTTTATGGGGAGGATGGTAGATGGAAGAAGGATAAACTCTGATAAATGTCACCAGTGTGAGTTTTTGTTAGGACTACGTGCTTAGAACGGAACAAACTGGATGTAAACACTGTGGATTAATACATACACGCTGTTATTGGGGGGCACTGAATGGGTAAGCACCTGCAAACTTCTGTGTGTGTGTGTGTGTGTGTGTGTGTGTGTGTGTGTGTGGCGGTGGGTTAGAAGCTAGAGTGGGTCGTCTCCTATCTGGATGGTTGGCCGTTTGATTCTCAGTTTCTTCACTCCACATGTTGAGTCTTTGAGCAAGACACTGAACCACTAGTCGCTCCCGGTGATATCACCAGTGTGTGAATGTGTGAGTGCTTGTGTGTGCAAATCGGTCAATAGGAAGTAGTGTAAAGCGCTTTAGGTTTGCATCAGTGTGTAGAAAGGTGCTATATAAGTATAAGACTATTTACCGTTTACGATACTGGACCACACATTGAGTCAGAGCTCCAAAAGTGTTATCTCCACAATTTGTGGAAGTAAAACACACACATACAAACTCATGTTCATCTCATGCAGAAATGGAGCTACAGACGATCATCCTGGTCTCTGGAGAACACACACACTGTTGGAATTTAACCTTTTATGTACAGCTTTCAGGTACTTATACTGTACATTACTTTAATATTTCCTTCTATTTTCAGAGAGAAATGTTGTGCTTTTTACTTTACCACATTTTTCTGAAGCTGGTTACTTTGCATATTTAGCTAAATAGTTGTCTTACAAAACATGGAACTTTCAAAATGAGTTACACTGTGTGAAAAAATTCTCTGTCTTATGACATTGGTTTAAGATCCTTAACAGAACACAAGGGTTAATCTGGAATTTTGTTTGTTTTTTTTATTAAAACTGAAAACATTTCAAATAATATGAAAATGTTCTGACATCACTTTTTAAAAATAATTTAGTGCCTGGACATGTTTTATTTTGTTCTTATACAGACACTCATTTCTAGAATGATTATAAACAAATTAAATATCCTAACTGAACTACTATATAAAATAATCATAATGAACTAGCTATAGACAAAGATGTCTTTATAAGTTTGGAGAGTTTACATTTTGTTGATTAAACTACCCTAATAACCTAATCAAGTATTTAAAACCAACTCTAACAAAAACAATTCTCACACGTTCTCACATATTAAACGTAGGGTTTTCGATCCTGGAAAAACCAAGAAGAGGAAGCTCAATTTTGAAAGCAGACATTCGAAGAAACCCCACCCACCCAGATTTCAGGAAAATAGCAAATGTCTCCCAAACAAAACAAAAGCAGTAATTACCTGTCCAGCAGAAATATGGCCACCATGGCATCATATTTCAGTCCCTGCTGTTCACTCAGTTCTGGTTTTACTTCTTGCAGCATCCAGCTTTTTTTTAGTTGTAACTTTCTTGAATATGGTATTGCGTACCCAGGTCTGTGGCTCCAAACCATAATGGTGGGGCCTCTGGTTCATGGCTAAACTGCTTTAACCCTGGCTCATAGCTGGTAACCAGCCTTAGAAGTCCAGGCTTTTCGGTCTGGGTGAAATGAAGAGGGAGGCCAGCTAACTCTATTCAAAACATAGGTTTTATTCTGTCTTGGCAATACGAACACATGTGGCCTTCTATCCTATCTATACACCTAGAGCTGACTACTGCTGGTATTTTCCCCACCTACATGTAAAAGGAGTCTGTTTTGTGCAGCTGTCTTCTCGCTCTCATACTGTATGTAGCACCTTCTGGCAACAACAACAACATTACCCATAAGGCTACAGTATATATCTTAAAAGATAAGACCTGGCCTGTAACAACGCTCTCCATTTGTGAACGAAAGCTGCTGTGGAAACCTTCTCTACCATAGCTTGCTATCTTTAGCTGTAAAACAGAGTGGAAACAGGTCTGCCTGCAACTCCAGTGTGTTGTGAGAGACTCTTGGCTTGGGCACTGAGTGCATGGGCAGTGTGTGTGAAAGTAGGGGGTAGGTTCAAAGGCAGGTAGGCCATCCACTGGTTTTGCTGGGCATGAGTAAAATTATTGGTCACGCTTTTTTCAGCCCTACTGCTAACACAGATGACAGATTTTTTTCTTTTAGTTGTCAGTGCATTTAATGTATTCATTGCCATTGGGATGAAAAGAGAAATTGAGGAAATAACAAAAATGTTTCTGGAAGGACTTGCCAACCCTACCTTTAATACTTTAGCACTCTGTGCTGCACCTTTATTCAACTTGAATTTATTGAAGCTTACATTTTAATCAGGCTAAAATATTTAGAGACAAAAAAAGAGCCTTTTTCAAATAGCATGCGTTCGAAGCGTCATGGGATTTACATCATAAGGAAATTCTGCTTTTTCTGCCTGCTACTTGACAATGACGGGAATCACATAGCTCCACCTAGTGGATTGTGTCTGTAGTGGTGTTGTCAACCAGAGGGATCTGTTTTATTTTCTGCTACCAGTCACATTGAAACCAGCTCATTAGGGAGCTTCATCCCAGTAAAACAGACTAGACTCGCTGAATCTTCAGCTTGGTATATTGACGTTTGCTTGAAGTCTGTTATGTTTGCTCGAAACATAACAGAATCTTGTAGTGTACTACTTCCCATGCATGTCTCATGAAGGGTCTTGAACTCAGAAGCTTGAGACACTTGTTTAATTCAAGATTTCCCATTACACTGGTTATAATAGTCAGCAACACCAAACAGACACGAGAAAAAACAGAAATGTACATTAAAAAAAACAATAACTGCACAATCTACTCAACACCTCTGCAGCGACTACTACACAATCACAATATTTTAGGCTGCGTTACAGATTTAAGTGACTTGGTGTATATTTTTTCTGCTTTTCAGAATTTTGTCTGTTTTGTAGTAATAGATTGCGTTTATAATTTTTGGTATATATGTTTTTAACAGTCAAAGCAAAGTCACAAATGGAATATTTTCATAACAGGTGATTTGTTACAATGAAACTATGAAAATAAAATGTCCTGTTTTATTAAAACATCAGGTTGTTCAAAGATGCAGTGCAACTTTTACAGTACTGACCCTGTGCTCTTCTCAGTTAACTTCCAACTTTCAGTTATTGGTTGTAATCCTCCTGATCTTCATAGTGACAGATTTTATGGAGTGAGGGATCCCGTTCTGTCTCCAGGTGTCCCACAGGATGTGCGTCCTCTGGCCCTGGTTCTGTTCTGCATCCTCAGAACAACCGTTGAGGTTTGCCAGGCCGCACTGGTTGAACCACCATCCTGTCTGGTTGTGCCGAGTGCTGCAGCTCTCCACCGTGCGGTTGCCAATGGAGCAGAAAGGATTGCAGCCATCATTGTCCACATCTGAGGCACTGAACGGAGCAGTGTCCTGGTTCTGCTCCTGGTCATAACCACGAAAGGCATCACCTGTACAGAAATGCAGAGAAAATCAGTCGTACACGTGCAAATGTTGGGTGCTATGTGAACATATAGGGCATCTGTCCTGGTGTTAGGTTTGTATTTGTATATGTGGAAAGAAAAGGCACATTTCTGAGGGTTAACTTTTTGAGAGTCTGTTACCTGCACTGCCTGCATATCTGCCCAGGTGTATACTGAAGAACTGGGTTTCAGTGTCCAGGTGGAAATCATCATATGATGCGTAAGAGGTGACATCATCCTGTGAGACCAGAGCAATGTGAAGTTGGAACCGAGTATCTTTCTGGTTTACTATGTGAAACACCTTCTTCAGGCCCAACCAGTGCTCTCCTAAACGCACACACAAAGAGGGAAGGAGTGGGCCTTTACCACAGTGCAAACTATAATCTGTCTGCAGAGTTTGTTCAAAGTGAGATGGCTAAATGAAGTAGTTTGAGTGGTCCATTATACTTCCAGCAGCCACTTAGCTTAGCAGAAGACTGGAAATGGAAGGGAACAGGTTTTGTCCAGACATGAAATAAATTGTCCTGCCTTTAATATCCTGCAAAGCCACATCACATCTTCTTACATGTAGGATTTTATATAGATTAAAAAATGCAAACGGTTCTTATGTTTGGATGTAGCCAGGTTTACAGTTTTCCTGTGTTTCCAGTCTGTATACTGTGCTAAACTAACTGTGCTGCTGGCTTCATATTTAGCAAACATGCATGAGTTTAAACATGGGGAAACTAGAAACATGAGCAAGTAACACTTTATGAAGCATCAAGAACATGCCTACACACTGCTTTTCACACATTTTGGACAAGACAGAACAAGGCTTTTGTGTTGTCGGCAGCCAACTCAAAATCAGAATCAGGACTTCATATAAATGTTTGCTTGATGAGCATCACCACTTTTATGTCATAGCCTTGCTAGGGCTCTATGGCAGTTTTGTTTGTTATAATGAAATGAATGTGATTCACTGATTCATTCTTAGCACCGATATTTTTGCCCATGGCAATTGTTTCAGCAATTTCGGAAAGAATGATGCATAAACCCTGAACACCCAGTGTTCTGATTTATAGCATGAACAGTATGTGTTGATGTTCATCCTGCAAAAGACCAAGGTGGCACATTCACCATTAGCCCAGTAGTTGTTTGTGAGCAGTCTGCTAGTACACCTGGTGTATTAATTATTGTTCCTAGCGCCTCGATCTTCGCCTGGCCTTGTACACTTGAAACAGAAAACATGCCTGCAATGCTCAACCTGCAAGATTTCCAAATCCATCAGCATAATCAGTCCAGGGTCGTTTGAAGTCAGTTAGTCCGTCCATCCTCCTCTGCATCACCGTCCATCCACCTCCCATGTAGTCCATCTCACAGAAAACCTGCAGGACAAATTTGACTTTGAATCATGACAGGAGTGAGTGACGACATGTGAACGGCTGGATGAGTCAAATACCTGTACCTCAAATATAGAGTCAGTGTCCTCTGGGTGGACAATGTAAATACCACTGGGGATCTTGGGAACGACTGACACAAGACTGTCCTTGATGTCACTGCAATCTCGTCCTAATCAAAGCAAACACACTCTTTTGTCATTAGGGATACTAATATATTCTGTGTTAGAGGAAATGTAGCAGCATAAAATGGAAACACACATAAAGTATGACTGCCTCAAGACGGTACTTGGTTAAATTTTCTACTCGTAAACTGATATTCACACCTAAAAGTGATGAAAGCTGAATGAGTGTTGTAACATATGTGTATGCGTGCATGTTACCATGGGACTGCACAGATTTCATGGAGTACATCTCTGCACTGCTTCTCTGAATGTCATAGCTGAGCATCTGCACTTTGGTCATCAGCTCTGTGACCTGGAAATATGACAGTACTGTATGTAAAGCCAGCAAATTACACGCTACTAACAGAGAAACTAAAGACTCTGCTTTACCTGATTGCTGAGGACGTCCAGGGATCTCTGCTGCTCCTCCATCATATTCGTGATCAGCTTCCGGGTGCCACGTTCAAACGCCACCAGAGACTGCTGTAACTGGCCTACACATACATGTTTGTTCTCATTCCTTGTAGAGACTTAACATTGACTTACATTCATTTCCTAGAGACGTACCCAGACTTACCTAACCTTAAGCATAACCACTAATTGCCTAACCCAAGTTGTCACCCACAATAAAGATGGGTTCCTACCATGTGAGTGTGTAAACAGGTTTTGGTATCCAGTATGTGAGTGACACCAGGCACACATAAACACACACACAATCTGAACAACAGGTGATGATGATAGAGATAACAATAAAAGAAACTGTACCACAGACTGAATGTTTCTCATCTCGTAGCAGCTTGACAGCAATGTCACATGGGATGGAGCATGTGTCCTGACCTTTGACCCCTCTGAGAGGTTTCTGGCCTTTGAAAGGAGCATCAGAGAAGTCCATGTTGACAGTTTCTGATTGGTTAATATTAATGCTGGTTCCTGTGTCCTGGGGATAAAGAGAGAACTACAGTGAAAATTATATCTACCACTCTGCATTTGCACTTTTCATTTTGATTTGCCATAGCAGGAAGAGCACAGATGAAGGAAAAGTCATTAATAATGTGACACTTCAGAGGTGGAATGGAACTAGAGTACTCAAGCACTGCACATAAATACATATTTATGCTACTTTATCTTCTACTTTGAAGTCTGGACATTGTAAAAGTGTCACTTTGGGCTTTTGGTAACTGTGACAGCATTTCTCACTAATGTCTGAGTTTTTACAAATTGAACAATCAGTCAATTCATTGAGAAAATTGTCAGTGAATTGATCAGGTATGAAAATAATTATAAGTTTCAGTTTTACATAAAATAGTTTAATAGTAAAATTTGCTCCACTTCAACCAACTTCAACAGGAAAATGCTAAGAAGACGTGCATTAATGCATGAGTATCTAATGTACAGTAGTACAGTCGTCACAAGGGCCATTTTTCTGCAACAAGTACTTTTACTTCTCATACGTTAAGTACATTCTCCTTGTTCTACTTAAATGTTAACAACATGTAACGTTTTCAGTGCAGAACTTGCACTTGCACTAAACATCTGCTGTGGATGTCTCTAAATTTCATATAGTCTTCTATATGAAAGAATATGAGAATTTAAAATTGATTAAATTTATTTAAGCTTTGTTACATTGTTGAATACGAATAACAAGCAGGAGGAACAGTCTGGGTGATATTCAGTAGTACTTTGGATGGAGTGGCATTGACATAGACACTGTACTGAAGCACGTTTACTAAGTAGCTTGTTTCAGTTTGATGCTGCTCTTTACTGACATCTGCAGTTTCTAATTATAGTTGCTTGCAGATTACCTTTAATTCAGCACATATACTATGGTGAGCTTCTAAAACCTACAATGGATTATTACAGCCACACTAAGGAATGTCAAGGTTAAAGTGAAAAACGTTGAGAAATAATTTGAAATACCATATCCAGAAAAAAGTTGTACTAGTTTAACAAGTACTTCTACTATAAGTACAATTTGATGATAATACTTCATTACTTTTAATTAAGACTTTGAGTTCAGGGCTTTTAAAATCTTATGTAGCCTACACCTATATATAACCTCATACCATAATTATGTGAGTATAAGACAGAGACTACAGATACAAACTTTTACAATAGGCATATTGTACATACTGCGGAGGACAGCAAACAAGGCAACAGCAGCAGGAGGACAGTTGCTGGCCACATCACGTCAGTCTCGTCTGACTGCAATTGTTTCCTTCACGAGCAAGGAGCTGAACTTTGTCCACTCGGTCAGCAGCAGCCACTCCTTCATTTATGCTTATTTTATCACAAAGTATTCTCTTCTCTCTCCCATTCTTCTTTAGCTTCTCATCTGCATCTTGTCTGCATCTGCTCCTTCCTCTCAGTTGTCAAGCTTCACTTTCTCTTTGCTTCCTCTCTGACTGCCACCCTTTCTCCACCTCCATCTCCGTCACTCCCACTTTTTTTTGTAATGTCCCATGACAACATCCCCTGTAAGGAGGTCAGATTTGTAAATGAGTTGCTATAAAAATCTGGATGTGCTTCTGACAAGCAGCTGAATGCGCTGATTCCAGATCTTTGTGACTGTAGCTTCCCCCTCAGAGTGTCTGTCATGGGCATTGTTGTTTTACAGGTTATATCCAGCCACTAGTATGAGAAACAGATGTGGAAGGGGAAATGGGAGGTTTGTTTTAATGTAGGAAGACATTCTCTCTGCTTGCGTTTTTGCATAGTAGCTGCAACTGGAGGTAGCGTGTGGGGTATCTCTGCTTCTTCTACTCATATTTCCCCCATTACACCCCCTTCTCTCTCTCTTTCTCCCTGACCACTGACTCATATATCTGACTCCCAGAGGGTCAGACCAATTATTCCAGTAAACCAGGCAGTTTAGCAGTGAAAGTGGAAAGCGATGGATGTGCAACAGCACATTCCAGTCAGGCTCCAGCTGGAGCCAGCCGGCATGACACTTCCTTGGAAAACTTTCCTATGAGTGCCAAAGAAAAGACTGTTGTTCAAAAACTGTGTGAATTTACAGCCATGGCTCGGGAGAGATGTGAAAAGCCTGGTGCAGCAGTCTCAGGGCCCCCACATCTGCCTTATAAAACAGCTTATGCATGTGAATGACATATTACTGTATATCTCCCAGGCTAGATAATGAAAACACCCAGTCAAGACTGTGTGATCTTCTCTGCTTGTGTCCTCATAAAGATATCAATAATTAGCACATTACATAATAGCTCAGATATCTCATACTGTACACCAGCTGGTTAAACAAGGTGTCCCCCAGCAGCATCGGAACAGTAACTCAAGAGAAAGACAATTATATTAATGAAACTAAAAGATAACAGAACATAAGTGCTGACATGTAGAAATGATGCCAAAAAATGCTAATCAACCAAAATACAACATGTATTGATTGTTAAATTATATGACAGCTGCTAGTAACTGAATATAAAGCTGAATTAATGAAAAGGTCAAATTATAGTGTAAGTTACTGTGAGTAGAAATTACATCACTGCTGGCCTGGTGTGGCCATGGGTGCAGCCATCACAGTTTGAACAAACAAGGACTAGCATGAGTTTTAGAGGTGCTGGTAGTCGGACGGAGCCAGGCTAGCTGTTATGCTAAGCTAAGATAAATGCCTGCTGGCTGTGGCTTCTTACTACATGGACAGTCAGTGATATTGATGTTATGTGAATATGTGTGCTTCCTCAAATGTCAAACTATTCCTTTAATAATTACAAATATACAAACAGTAGTCACCAAAACCGCAACCTCAAACTTCTTTTTGCCAAACTCAGTATGCTTGTATTAATCTTGACGTAACTCTCTGCAATGTAGTCCTGACCTCCCAAATCAATATATAGTGATTTGTGTGAATGCATTTGAACACAGATGCAGACACTAGCTGCTTTATTTGCAGTGTGAATAGTCACCTGACAAGTCACCTGTGCGTTAGTGGTGTGGTTTGATTTGTTAGAGAAAGACACTGATAAAGAACTGAGTGTGGAGATGATTTTACTGAGAAAAACAACAGAAAAATGAAAGTATCACACAGCCGAGCTGATTCACTTTGTTGCTCCTCTACTACATTGAAACATCTCCTGGACTGTTTTTGTGCTTTGTGCATCATTATTAAAATAATGCAAAACAATATGCTACAGGTCTGTGATGGACTGGTGACCTGTCCAGGGTGAACCTCGCCTCTCGCCCAGTGTCAGCTGGGATTGGCTCCAGCCCCCTGTAACCCTCTTCAGAAGCAGTATAGTTACTGGATGGATGGATGGAACATGCTACAGGTGCAAAGGTAGGACGGCGCCATCTAATGCTCTCTGGTGTATATTACATTATGCTTGCGTTGACCTTTTGCCTGTTGCCATGGTGTATCTTTAATGTAAACAAATTTATGCAGACACAACTAATAATTTCAGGACAAATACTACACTCTAAAGATGGCTAAACCCTACATATAAAAACATGTATTATAGTGTATGGCAGTTGGTACATAACAACTAAAACTACACAATACAATAATGTTGTTATTTTCTATGATGTATTGTTATATTAAAATATAGCCTGCAGGTGTAGTGAGTGTAGTGCAACGATCAAATGCATTTTGTTGTGCAAAATAAAATAAAAGGAGGGTTCAGATTCAGAATCACAGTATTTACATGCATACACTACTACTAAAAACTACTACTGGAGTCTACTACACAGAGACTCCAGTTAATATGCTACCAACAGTGAAAGGGGGCTCAATGATCACAGTAGGCTACAAAATGGCACACGACTGAAGACCTAAGGGGGCAATTATAGACAGATAGTCACACCTATGAATGCATAAGTAATGCCCGGGTATTAATAAACAGCAGAGTAATATGTATTCTTTAAAGGTTAAGGGTGCAGAGTGGAAATGTAATGTGTTCTGGGGTTTCCACGAGATGAAACTGATCTCAAACTGTACATCAGAAACAGATGGTTTCAGAGTGGGCAGGGATGTTTAAAAATCTCTGCTGCCCTTTTCTTCACCCCCTGCTTGTGCAGCTCCTTCATGGACACGAAGAGGAACTAGCCACAGCACTTTATCAGTCACTCTGATAAAGGTAGGTGCTGTGGAAACATCAGAGCAGCAGTGGAAGAGACTCGTGGAAACATAAAACTCACAGTGTAGACACAGCTGCACTGGCTGAGTCTGTTTTCATTGTCACACTTTCAAAAACAGTTAAATTAATTTATTTTTAACATGTTTTCATCTTCTTTAGTTTTGTTTCTTAAAAAAAAGGAAGGAAAATGTTTCTTGAACTAAACAAACCAGATGAGTTTTTTGATATTACAGTGAAACTTACAGTGAAAGGGGAAACTGTGGCATGCTGGCAAATAGAAAAATTCTAGTGAAGTGGAATGATTTAAATAGAAATTATAGAAATAGTCCCTCTTAAAATCCAGTTTTCCTCTCATATTTCCCCTTTATGTTAAAGCCCCTGAAACCACGTGGATTATTTTATACACATCTTCCCAAATTTCACCCTCACATGTTTGGTATCTTTGTCCACTAGAATTTCAAATGATGTTCCGATGCTTTGAGAGGTGTTTGGCTGAATAACATGAGCTAAAAATCATCCAACTCAGCTGCAGTTATTTGTGCATTTGTCCATCTAGCTCCATTTAAAAATGAAGTTTACAGTTATTCAGATTAATGAATTAGTTAATCCCTCAATCTTTCAAGTAAAATGTTTTTATTTGTAAAATATTTCGCCAATTCCTCTTTTACTGTCTGATAAAAATCTATTTTTATTCATTGTAGTGATTTAAAAGGACTAAATAACTGAGAAGAGTCTTGGATGCACAGTCTGGCCAGATATTTTTCTTGGTTTCAATCTGTTGACCAGCTGAGCTCCAGCTCGCTGTGCGCATGTTTTCCACCAGGGGGCAGGCCGCTGTGGCTGTGACTGCGCAGACAAACAGGCTCCGGCTGGGTTGTGCTCATCTGGGGCGGATGTTTTCCTAAAGCAACTTCCCAATCCCCCACCCCACTCCTCAAACACCAGACCCAGACTTAGAAAAAACAGTGCAGCAGGCTCTTGTACATCCACTGCGGTTGTCTCTTGTCACCTTTG